CAACTGCATAAGGTCATATGAGCGCCAGAAGATTAGAGGTGTTACAAGTGAGTAACAAACATAAAAAAGAAGAAGGGGGTGATAAAGACGATAGATGTTTGATAGGAAAGAAGAAGCAAACCACACCAGAGCACCCGCCAACCACCCACTGTTTCTCTTTGATCCAATCACAGTACATGTACCTTATATCTTAAGTGGTACAAACATTCTTGGACCAATGAAGTACCAGTATCCATGACAAATTACTGTCGCCACACCTCCCTTCCCCTCCCCTTCCCCAACACACACACACACACACACACACACACACACACACACACACACACACACACACATACACACACACACACACGCGCGCGCTTACGTGAAGACAAACAGACAGGCAAGACTCCGTGACCACCAAACAGTCAACTTTATCTCAACTCTAAGAGCCCTTATCTATCGCTCTTCACAGTCAAGCACACTCAATTACACACTAGCATTATGAGAACTTTTTTTAAAAATCACCTCTCCCTCCTTTTTTTTTCTCCACAACTTCCCCGCGCCACAAGGTACCGTCGAGACTGCTCAAGGAGTCCGAGATCTTCCGTGGGACACACACACACACAGAAGAGAGAGAGAGAGAGAGAGAGAGAGAGAGAGATGGATGGAGAGAGAGAGAGAGAGAGAGAGAGAGAGATGGAGAGAGAGAGAGACTTTTGCTGGAATACACAGTTCAGTCAACAGAAAAGTGCCAACTGTACACGTGTATATACTGATACATCTTTACTTATCAAGTTTTGACCAGAAAATAAAATTGCATTAGATTTTGATGAATCTTTCTCTTTGCAAATATTACGCTAACCTAGAGTAAATTCAGACACCATCTATAGTCTAAAATAGAAAGTAAATATTGATCATAATTTGTGTGTGAGCGTGTGTGTGTGTGTGTGTGTTTGTGAGTGTGTGTGTGTGGGTATATGTGTGTGTGTGTGTGTGTGTGTGTGTGTTTGTGTGTGTGTGCGTGTGTGTGCGTGTGTGTACAAGCTCACTGAAACTGGTTTTAAAAAGGTGAAAAGAGTTAAAACAAACACATTCATCATTTTCCCAGAGAAAAAACCCAAGACTTATCTGTATTCTTCGTGTGGTTTCCATTCTAATATGAAGTGCAAAAACTGTGAGTGATTAGTCTTCCTCCATTTTCATCAACTGTTCCACTGTACAGTCCCAAATGACATCAGAGCTACACTTTTCCCTCCGAAACCTAACACTGACATTCTATGGGCTATTACAGCAACTGCAGCAAACCTGCACTTATCACTAAATGGCATTGGACAGAAGAGCAAGAAGCCAGCTGTTGCTGGATTGATAACAACAGCAACAACAACAATAACAACAACACCAGCAACAGCAACAACAAAAACATCAACAGCAACACTAACACCACCAGCAACAACAGCAACAACACCAACAACAACAACAATGTATTGTACTCAGAGATGAGAGAATGTCTTACGAGACACAAAGAGCTCCGCCGTTGCCATCTGCTCCAGCTGTTGCTCTTGGTGTATTGAAAACAACAACAACAACACCACCACCACCAACAACAACAACAACAATCTAATGTGTTCAGAAACGAGAGAATTTGTCTTACGAGACACAAAGAGCTCAGCGGTGGTCTCCTGCTCCAAAAGTCGGCACGTGTACTTTCCGTCGTCCTTGATGTTGCAGTTCTTGATGTTGAGACGTCGCTTGAGGCCGTCCTTGACAAACTCGTACTTGCCGCCAGACTTCAGCTCCTGCACCAAAAATAGCAACAGCCGTGATGAACAACAACACTTTCATTTGACTCGGCCTCTAGCTTTTTTGGGTTTTTTTTACTTCAGAATTAGAGATATTACAGGGAGAAAATAAATAGGAATTTTGTTATAAATTCTGGGTGATAAAATACACATCAGTTAGTTGATACAATAGTTAGTTGTCAAAAATCTTAGTAATTTCATAGAAGCAGATCGAGTTAATAGGAAAATATAGCAGTTGACATCATTAATATTAAAGTAAAAGTTTTACTGTTAAGCCAAATTTACTGTTCTATTACAGCATTAAGATTGTTATTGATTCAGTTAGCACAAAGGGAATTGTCACCAAAATGGGCAGTAGAGAGAATGTAAGTCCAGAAAAAAAAGATAATACTACCCCTTCAACCCCACAAGAAAAAACATTCTTTAAAAACAGGGAATCATTTTGATATTAAGCTTTTCTCAAAACTGTTCTGTCATAGTTGCTATCAACATCCGAGGAAGGGAAGAGGGAAGGAAAGCATTCGGTCATTATAAGGGTAAAAAAAACCCAACCAAATCCCGCACATATGTGTCACGAAGCGGTGGAATCAGGCGCTAGTCAATTTTTGGACATGTAGAGTTATTGATACCACTGCAAAGCTTGTTTATTTGTCTATCTTTTGATGAAAAAATACCCATCTATCTTTAATAGAAGTCAAGAAATTTGCAATTGAAAAAGGCAGGGTTGTCTGGCTGCAGATGTAAAATTGTCCGGAAAATGGCAGCCAAAGTTTAGTGATTTCCATAGCTTTAAAGTACTTGGAAACTGAACATTTACAATTTTTGTGCCTCTAATCAACATTTTTCCGTAAAAATTAACTAGAAAATATGTTCTTAATTGGACATAAAAGATGTTGAGCCAGAAAACAAAAATTCGATAAAAATTGCCAAACTGGCGGGAAAATGTCAGTTTCTTCGATTTCATTATTTTGACGGGCGCCTGATTTCACCACGATGTCACACATATAAACTGTGAGCTGTGACAAAGTAATTATTCATTTAGAATGAAGTTATGTTTTTTTGAAGTCCACAGACTCTTTACCCATCTGTTTTCTCATTTAAATTCAAGAGTTCTGTTGCTAACATCTCCTTCACTGTTCTTTCCCCCTCCTTCACAATATAAAAAAAATAATTCATTTAGAATGTCAAAATTCATTCTTTAAAAAATACATGAACTTTGCAAACCACAGCATTGACAAACACTTTCCAAAAATCACTCATACTACTGTTTTAAATACAACAGAGATACTACCAACAACTGTGGCCTACTAATCCTGTTCTTACTTCAAACCCTCTGCTCTACGAAGCATTAAAGTTGCAGGACAGAAAGAACAAAACACATGGGGGGGGGGGGGAATGTATAGCATTCGCAATTTTTTCACAGTTTGGAAAACAGGCACACTCATCAATGAAAAGGGCCGAAATAAACCAAAACTTGGTTCGCAGCATCTCATTAGTAGGTCTGTCAGCATGTTATATAGTCACAATAGAGTCAGACCAGCTTTAAAAGCCACCTGTGCAAGACATTCACCTGTATGAACAATCACTACCCACATCCTACTTTCTTTTTTTTTTCAATAATGATTCTGTCCAAGATGTCCACATATCTAAGACAACATTTTTATCCTCAACAATGGGAGGCCGTCTTGGACAATTTTGACTGAATGTAAAATATGGTACTGAAGCTCTTTTGCAAAGTCGGGAAACCTTGAACTATTTCTAAGTCCTTCACATTGTTTCATCCATACATAAGGCCCAACACAAAAATCTACACCCTGTTCTGACTAGTCACTGGCACAATATGCCAGAGCAGCTGCTACACATCTACTTTATGACAAGTAAACTGGTGCACTTTTCTCAAACACAACACCTGTTGCAAGCACAGTCATCATCATCATCAACATCTTTGCCTTTTTCACCTTGCACCAGGGTAGAGGCCATGGACAAACTCTTTCTCACCCTGCACCAGGGTATAGGCCACGGACAAACACTTTCTCACCCTGCACCAGGGTATAGGCCACGGACAAACACTTTCTCACCCTGCACCAGGGTATAGGCCACAGACAAACACTTTCTCACCCTGCACCAGGGTATAGGCCACGGACAAACAATTTCCCCCTTTCTCTATTCTAGACTAGCAGCAAGCACAGTGGTGAACACTATAGACTAAGGCAAGTTCCACAGTCTTTTGTAGACTCAAAAAGCACAATAAATCAGTCTTTTCCATCATGTATTGACTAACAGATGCGAACTGTCCAAAAATCCACTCGGTGGGTCACCCAAAATCACCATGCTGAAGGGAAACTTCACTAAAGCCTCAGGATACATGCAACACAAAGACAAGCTGCCTGTTTCTCTCTCTCTCTCTCTCTCTCTCTCTCTCTCTCTCTCTCTCTCTCTCTCTGTCTCTGTCTCTCTTTCTCTCTCCCCTCTCTCTATCCTTTCTACATTTGGGCAAGGTCATCTCTTCTAAACACACAGTCTCTATCCCCCCCTCCCCCCCTACTCAACAAGCTGCTAACGGCAACAATTCCTTCACTGCAAAGCGACTAAGTCTCTAAGGAACAACATCTGCCTGTGTACCTCAACGACACCAGGAGTGGCCTGAAAATTGCGTTAGTTGGGTTAAAGGTTAAAGGTTAAAGGTGTAACACATTACAGAATTATTGATAAAACTTAGACTTAAATAAAAAGCTTAATAAGGCCTACCCCTACATAGAATGAGAAAAGAGTCTAGAGTTCAAAAGTTTGGGACGAAAAATTATGAGGTGCAAAAAGACATAAACTGAAAAAACAGAGCACCTATATTTCTTCTCTAAAATTCAAACAAATCTTAATTAAAGAAATTTTGACAATAGACAGTCTTCAATAAACATTTTCTAGCAGGATGACAGATGACCAAGATAAGTGGTAAAGTTAACTTTGTTAAGATATGAATGAGTCAAGGGAAATCAGGTAAAGTCGCATTAATGTGTTACCATGACTGGACCTATTCTAAACTTTCTAAATGACGGACCTGGCTAGTTCTTAATTTGATTTGCTGTTACAAAGATACAGTTTGTGGATGACTTAGTTGGTTGGTTTTCCACTGGATATATTTCACTGAGGTTTGGATTACTTGGATCCAGAGCTAGAATCATTGCAAGCGGCACATGTCCATAGCTGCTCATCTCTCCTTTCCTGCGTTCACCCCAGGCTCTTCCTGCTAATTGTCTCCAATTTTCATTGAGATATTCTCTAGGTACTATTATAAGTCAAGAGCTATATAGTGCCCTGATTTCTTTTGTATTTTAAAAAATGTACTTATCCTGTTTTTCATTTGACCACTTCATTTGCGAGCTGTGCTGGCAAAATGAGTTACTTCTAGCAATCCACAAATGAAGATATTGGCCAAAAATCGACACTAGGGTCAAATTTGTAGATTTTTCTATTGTTGCCTTATTCTTTAAGTATAACAGTCTTTTTATTATTTCATACTTCTAAACTGTAAAAACTTCACCAAAAGGCGTGATGTATCTATTTCAGTAAGGCTTGAATTCCGAGAAGCAACTCATTTTGTC